AGTGGGGATATGTGGAGGAAGGTGAGCTTTGCTGGCCGCTCTGGAGCCATCACTGTGCCAGGGGTTTTGCTGCTCCCTCGCCTGCGATGCTGGCAGAGGGGCAAAGCTGCCTGGCGTGGATGGCTGCGTGTGCAAACATCCAGTGTGTCCCAGGCATCTCACGTGCTGGGTGTGGGCTGGCAGGGCCACAGAAGGGGTCTGTGGGGTGGCAATGCTGGGACAGGCCAGCGCGGGCACTGACTTGGTGCCTCTGTCCGCAGAGGAGAGCGCCCTGGCGGCGCTCCGGGCCCCCGTCTGCTCCGTGGTGTTCTCGGCGATGACGGACCCCAGCGTGCAGCTGCAGCTCGTGGGGATCAGGGTGCTGACAGTCCTGGGCTCTCTGCAAGGTAGGTGTCTTGCTTCCCCTGGGGATCAAAGGGAGATGTCACCCCAGCCCGGAGATGGGGTAGCATGTGTCTGATGGGTGCCTAGGGCAGAGGCTCAGATTTGATGGCGTATGTGGCTGCACTGGAGAAGTGGTGACATTTCCCAGCTAGGCCGCGAGTTCTGGACACTCTTGGTGTCTCTCCTACGTGTTCGCGCTGGGTACCGGGTATCTCTGGAGCTGGGCACGCTGCTGCATTGCTAACAACCTGGAGGAGAGGGCAGGATGCTGGCCAGAACAGCAGCATCTTTGCCTTTGGCCAAGGGCAGGTTTCCTCAATGGCTCTTGTTCCAGGCTTCCTGTCCCCTTCTGACCTGGAGCTCACTGTGGATCACCTCCTGCGGCTCATCCTGCACGAGGAGGATTCCCAGAGCAGGTGAGGGGCTGCCTGGAGCCGTGCTGGTCATCTGTGCTCTGGGAAGAGRAGCAAAACCTGGCTGTGTTGCAGAGAGGGGTTGTAATCTGGGAGCTGCCTGAGCTAAAAGACCAGCTGTGTATAAGAGCCATGAGATAAACCAGGCAGCTCCTGAACTGGAAATTGGAAAGCTTGGACCTCTCAAAGYGGGGGCTCTGCCTCACTTTCCTGCAGGGTGAACAGGGCAAATTGCTGAGAAAAGAGTTTTTGGAGACACCTTTAAGCTGGGTCTCTGCAGCTTGTGTGCTGAGAGTGCAGGTTTGAAGCACTCCCCTCTCCTCTCCCGTTCCTTGCATCCTGCAGCGAGGCAGCGATGGAGGCAGCCGGATCCCTGGCCCCCATCCACCCGCAGAGTTTCTCGGGGCGCATGGTACCGAGGCTCGCAGAGGAGCTGCAGTCAGGTAGGAGTCATAGGGGGAAAGAGAGAGCTCTGCTATGGGGGTCAAGCCATGGCCTGTCCCAGCTCAGCTCCCAGGGCTCCCTTCACGGGGCGCTTTGGCTTGGGCCCTTGGTGCTGGCACAGGGCAGGCTGTGCCAAGGGCTGGCAACAGCCCACGCTGCCGGGTCACCCATGCGGGCAGGGCCCCTGTGCCTTGGAATGGCTGGTTCCGCTGTGCTGCCTCGCCACGTCCCACTGGGGTTCTCTGGGCCCTGCATGTGTTGGGCTGGGGGCCGGGGTCGCTGGGACGCCCGCTGAGGTGCGTGTCCCGTTCAGAGCGGGAGCAGGAGGGCGGCCGGGCCGTGCGGCGCCCGCGGCAGCGCTGCCTGCAGGCGCTGGCAGCCGTGTCCACGCACACCAGCATCGTGCGGGAGACCGTCCCCGTGCTGCTGCAGCACCTCCGGCAGCTGCACAAAGGTAACGCGGCCCCGGGAAACGTCAGCACCCAGCTGGGGCTGCCCCCAGGGTGCCAGCACCTGTGGGGCGAGGGCAGTGGCCGCTGGATGTGACAATGCCCGTGTCCTGCAGGGAACGAGGCCGGGAGTGTCCAAGACGTGGTCTCCGTGTGCCAGAGCCTCCAGCGCGTGGCCCTGCAGTGCCAGCAGGATGCGGAGAGTTGCTGGTACTACCACCAAACGGTGGTGCCGTGCCTGCTGGCCATGGCTGTGCAGGCCGCCATGCAAGGTAGGCGCAGGGCTGCGGTGGGGCAGGGGGCTCCCTGGGAATCCCTTTGGGGTTCCAGACGCTAYGGCTGATGCTGCTGCAATCCTGCAGCTAGTGCTGCTGTCCCCCCGGCAAACGCACTGCAGGGTCCCAGCACCCTGCGGGCAGGGCCAGAGCTGCAGCACCCCGTGCCGCTGTGGGTCACTGGTGGTACTGGGTGGTGTGGCAGGTGCCAACGTGCCCCATTTCATCCCGCTGTCTGCAGAGAGCACCCACCCGCCRCTGGGCAAGGCGCTGCTGGAGGAGGAGGCCCTGGCTGCCATGGCGTCTGTCATCAGCGCCGCCTGCACTCACCTGAGCCCCGAGTGAGTGACGCTGGCGCGGGCGCGGCGAGGCCGGGCACAGATCCCCTCGTGGCGGGGCCTGCCTGCGGCCCCCTGCCCTGCCCTTGCTTCACCTGCCGCCCGGGAGGTACCCAGAGCTCGCCCGTGGCGCTCCCAGGGCAGCACACTGCAATGTCTCCTGTCTCCTAGACTGGCTGCCCAGAGCGTGTCCCATGTGGTGCCCCTCTTCCTGGATGGAGAGGTCTCCTTCCTGCCACAGAACAGTTTTCCTTGTTCCTTCCAACCCTTTGAGGTGAGTGAGGTGCTTGGGTTGAGGTGCCCGAGCAGACGCAGGGGATGAGACTACGGGCACAGGAGGAAGCAGGTGCCAGGGAGGATGGTGATGATGTGAGTCCCGTTCTGCCCCCGCAGGACGGGGAGCGCTTGGAAGCCCAGAGGCGCCTCGTTGCCCTCCTCATGGCCTTCGTCTGCTCCTTGCCTCGCACTGTAAGCCGGGGGAATGGGTGGCGGGGCTGTGGCCAGGGGTCCTGCCCRGGACTGTGGACTCCGGGGAGAGGAAGGGAGCAGTCGTAGCCCGCAGGCTGTGACAGGCAGTGGGTCCCTTTCAGGTGGTGATTCCTCAGGAGGAAAGACTGCTCCGGGAGCTGCTGGCCCTGAGCTGCTCCTGCAACTGCCCCTTCACGGCCACCACGGCAGCCAAGTGCTTCGCAGGGCTGGTGAACAAGCACGTGGAGGGTAAGGGAGCCGGGCCGGCCGCCGGGGCGCCCTGCGGGCGCTGCTGGGAGGCTGCTCAGCCGGTCTGTGTCCCCAGGGCAGCAGCTGGATGAGATCCTGCAGCTGGCAGTGAACAGGATGGAGCCCGCGCTCGCGGAGGGGCCCCGGCGGGCGCAGGCGCTCACGCTGCTGCTCTGGGTAAGGCCTGCCCTGCGCGCCGGAGGAATTGCCCYGGGGCAGAGGCAGCCCCTGCCCACTCTGTTGTGCCTTATAGGTGACCAAAGCCCTAGTGCTGCGTTACCACCCGCTGAGCTCCCACCTAACGGACAAGGTAGGCCCTGTGTGGCGTGGGTGCCCTCCGAGGAGCCTCCGTCTTCCCCGGGAGCTGGGTGGGAGCTGCCGGCTGCCCCAGTAGCCGGTGGGAGCCTCCTGGGCGCTCATCTCGGGCCGCTCTCCCCCGCAGCTGCTGGGCCTGCTGGCGGACGCGGAGCTGGGCCCCGCGGCGGCCGACGGCTTCTCCGTGCTCATGGCGGACGCGCCCGACGTGCTGCACAAGGGCTGCCACGCCGACGTGCGCATCATGTTCCGCCAGCGCTTCTTCACCGACAAYGTGCCCAAGCTGGTGCAGGGCTTCCATGGGGCCGGCCCCGGTGAGCGGCTGCCCCCTGGTCCCAGCCCGGCCTGYGGGGCTGGGATGGTGCCCCAGAGACCCCCTCTCTGGGGTCTCTGCACCGCTTGCTGCCTCTAACCACTTCTCTCCGCAGACGTGAAGGCCAATTACCTGAAGGGCCTGTCCCATGTGCTCAACCACCTCCCCAAGCCTGTGCTGGTGTCGGAGCTGCCCACGGTGAGGGCCGGCCTGCCTGCCCGGAGGCACTGTGGCAGCGCCCATGGCTCGAGGCCCTAATCCCATCTGTGTCCTCGCAGCTCCTCTCGCTSCTGCTCGAGGCCCTGTCCTGCACGGACCGCGTGGTGCAGCTCTCCACCCTGAGCTGCCTCCAGCCGCTGCTGCTCGAAGCGCCGCAGATCATGAGCACGCACATCGACACGCTGGTCACCAAGGTGCTCAGCCTCACCTCCAGCCCCACAATGGTGCGTGCGACCCCACTCTGCCCCACATGCCCCACTCCCGGGCCATGCCCCTGCCCACCGCTCACTCCTGCCTCTCGCAGGCTGTCCGCATCGCTGCCCTGCGCTGCGCCCACGCGCTCACCAACCTGCCCCTCCCCGTGGTAAGTTCTTCACCGTGGGGCTGGTGTGAGGGGCTGGGGGGGCCAGCTCCCTGCCTTGGGGGCTGGCGGCAGCCCCCCTGCTCTCTCACAGCCACCTCTGTCCCCCAGCTGCTCCCCTACAAGCCGCGYGTCATCCGGGCGCTGGCCAAACCCTTGGATGACAAGAAGAGGCTGGTGCGGAAGGAGGCGGTGGCGGCGCGGGGCGAGTGGTGAGTGTGTGCGGGGCCGTGGCCGGGGCGCAGCCGGGGCTGCCGGCCGGGCTCAGGGCACCACCTCCGTCCCCACAGGTTCCTGCTGGGGAGCCCGGGCAGGTGAGCGCCGTGCTGAACGATGGACACCCGGGACGCCTCTGCCCTGCGAGCCCTGGGACTGCGGCCGGGCCCATGGAGCCTCCTGGAGCGCGGGGCGGCTGCGCTGGGACGGGGGCCAGCGGGCACAGGCAGCCCCATCCCCACGGGAAGCAGCCGTGCCACGTGCAGCACCCACGGACACTGATGGACACGCTGGGCCCTCGCAGAAGGGAGGCCCTGTGTACAGGGGCCAGGCGTGCGCTGGAAGAATAAACGTGTGTTTTGGTAACGCTGCGGGGCCTCGCGCTGTGAGGCCACGCTGGGGCTCCTGCCTCTGCATCGTGGCCCTGCCCTGCCAGGCCCCACTGCTCCCGGGCCCGGCTGCCAGGGCACGAGCAGGTGCCCAGGGGCTTTGCCCTTGCACTGCTCCAGGCAGCAGCCGGGCAGGCTACCCCTACCACAGGCACGAGTCACTTTTCTTAAAAAAAACAACAACTCTTTATTGGATATTCTTACATTTGTAAAAAGGCTCCCCAGCCAGTGCATGGGGGGGGCAATACGCGGTCCTCCACGCCCGCCTCGCCAGGCTGGGCCAGGTCCTGGCCTGTACCTGTGCGCAGCAAGGGCAGCAGCTGGCACCCCAGCCCGCTGTGGGGCTCTCTGCAGCTGGTGCCCCCCACGATGGGGCTGCCTGCAGCCACCAAGGAGCCGGGAGCACCGGCGCTGRTGCTGTGCAAAGAGCCCGCCCGGTTCTGGCTCCAGCTGGCAGCGTGTGCCAGCACGAGCCTTCAGCCCGCTGCCCGGGCTGGCTTTGTGCTCCCCTGCCTGCAGGGCAGGGAGGGCTGCAGCAGCCAGGCCCCAGCTCCCGTTCAGATGGCCAGGAGCGGCGCCCGCTGCTCCCGCACGCAGGGAGGGAGGTCCCAGCTCAGGCCTGTTCCGTGCGGCAGGTGAGGAGAGGGCAGCAGGACCCGCGTGAGCCAGTGCCTGGCGGGAGAGAAGTAAAGCCTGCAGCAACGTGCTCAAGCCTTGGTGCTGCGCASCAACAGGGGGGCAGGCAGAGCGAGGGAGCGAGCCCGTGTCCCTGGGCTGTCACTGCGGCCCCCTTGGGCGCCCAGGGCCCAGCAGGAAGGCCTGAAGGGAGCCCTCAGGCAGCCCTGTGCTGCCCCAAGGGCTGGCTGGGCTCTGTGCCAGGGCAGCCRGGAGCAGGGCAGAGCACAAGCTCGTCTGCCCCACAGCCAGGGGMAGGGCAGARCACGGGCTCCTCAGTCCTGCARCCGGGAGCAGGGCAGAGCACGGGCTGCTCTCGGTCCTGCAGTGCAGCAGTGTCCCAGCCCCTCTACCCCTGTGCTGCCCAGGGAGGGGCTTCCCCAGGGCGGTACCTTGGCACGTCCACTCCCAGGAAAACCTTCCAGTTATTCCAGCCACCGTAGCTGTAGGGGTTCCGGAACACCTGCGGGCCAGAGCAACATGTGGGATACTTCCCGGCCGGGCAGCCGCCTCTGCACGCGCCGCCCACCTTGCCCTTCTTCTGCAGCCTCTGCCTCTCCTTCTTGTTGATGTGCCTCTCGATGCTGGTCTCGCCGCGGGTGATGAGGGCGGCGTGCCACAGCGTGAGGGCGCCCAGGGCCAGCGCCACCGAGCTGCGGGCAACAAGGACAGCAGCTCACGGGGAGGCCTGAGCCCGCGGGCGAGGGGCCTGCACCCCTGCGGCTGGGGGCTCTGGTCTAATCTGCAGGGCAAGGAGCTGAGGCCTTCCCTGCTCCGTGTCCCCAGGGCAGGGGCTGGCAGAGGCAGCCCGGGGAAGGCAGAGGGGAAGGGAGACCCCGCTGGGGTGCAGGGCTCGCTCCGCTGCCCGCCCTGCGTTACCTGCACAGCACCCAGAGGTAGACTATGCTCTTGTGGAAAGCCCGCTGGCGGAAGGAGAAGGCGGGCGGCGGGGTCTGGTAGTAGGTCTGCAAAATACAAACATCAAGAACAGGCAGGGGTTACACAAAGTGCTCTGCAGCGCAGGGGCTGGGGGCTGCTGCGCCCRTCACTGTTGCAGGATCAGGCAGGGAGGAAGGGCCGGGACCAGCACCAACACAAGGGCCGGGGTGATGGCGGGACAGCCATGGGACACGGACAGCACCTCACAGCCAGCGGATGAATGAGAAGCAGCAGGTTAGAATGGGGGGAGCAGCCGGGGGCTGGCAGGAGCCTGCCCCGCAGCGGGACGGTGCCAGGAACCGTGCGGGGGCTGCGGTGCAGCGCGCCCCGAGGCAGCGCCCGGCCCCAGGCCGCCGCCGGCACCAGCCAAAGCGGCTGCAAACGTGTGCACGGGAAGGCAGCGGCCGTGCAGAGCTGCCCAGAGCCGCGCGGGCCCTGCTTGGCTCCTGCCAGCAACTACCCGGAGAGCGGGAGCCAGAGCAGGGAGCCGGCTGCAGGCAGCTGCAGGGCAGCTCTGCTCCGCGCTGCCTGGGGCAGCTGGGAGCAGGGATGTCCCACCTGGTTGGCAGCCACCTGCAGTCTCTCCTTCTCAAGCAGTTTCATTCTCTAGGGGGATGGAAAACACAGGGCACCGGTTACGTGTCTCAGAGGAGAAGGCCCTTCCCGCTCACACCCCTGCGGGGCTGGGGGCGTCACGGACGGTGGCAGGGGGCAAACAGGGTCCCTACGAGGCCGGGGCTGCCCGTGGCTGGTTCTGCAAGCTGGGCCCTGGGCCAGCGCTTCCCTGCCCGCAGCGGCGGCGCCGCGGCTGCCCCGCTCACCTCGATGGCTGCGTAGGCGTCCCGGAACATGTCCCAGCCGCTGACGCTGCAGTAGATGCAGCCCATGGTCATGAAGAGGCAGAAGGAGAAGAAGTAGCGATGGTTGAAGTGGCCCACGCAGTTGTTGAGCCAGGCTGTTCTGGGGTTAAAGGTGGGTAACGGGGACAGGCCGGGGTGGGAACCCACCCTGCAGGGACCAGGGGACCCTCCTGGCCGGTCAGTGTGGTCAGTGTGGCCTGGCTCCCAGCACCCTGCCCGGGGCAGGAGCGGGGCAGGGAGCGGGGCMGSGMGCGGGGCCGCGCGGCGGGCGGGCGCTGCAGAGGATACGGCAGTGATGGTCCATCTTCAGCACACACCTGCGGGAGCAGAGCGGCACGGGCGTCACCGCGAGCCCCGACACKGGGACACGCTGCGTGGGGACACGAYGTGCRGGGACACGGCTGCACGGGGACGAGCGTGGGGACAAGGAAAAGGGACAGGCCCCCCTCCTGCAGCAGTCCGTGGGAGGGAAAAGGAGGCGTCCTGGAGGCTGCGCCGAGCAGTGCAGACACAGGAGCCCCATGCGGGCCCAGGAGCCCCACACGGGCAGTGTGTGGGGCAGGGCGCAGCGGGGCAGGGCGAGGACCCCTACCTGTTGCAGATGCTGCAGTGATGGGTGCGAGCTGGCTTGGGAGCGATGCATTTCCTGCAGATGGAGACGCCGGTGAGATCATCCTTGGCCTGCATGGAGGTCAGAAGAGGGTCGGTGTCCCCAGGCCCTGCACTGTCCCCTGCTGCCAGCACTCCTCTGTCCCTGCACTCCTCCCTTGCCTTTTAAGCCTAAGCCAGCCTCAAACAGGGCTGAGGACAAACCTCCTGCAGCCACATTACCCCGCAGCGCCAGYGGCACCACTCTCAGCCACCCTGTCCTGGAGGGGCCTCCCCCAAAGTTCAATCATCCACAGCACAAAGTGGGGAGCAGCGGGAGGCCCCCCTGTGCCCGGGGCCCCCCAGCCAGCCTGGCCTCACCTGCGGCGGGTACCCGGGGGAGGTGGTGATGGCCATGTAGTAGTGGAAGACGATCATGAGGAGGTTCCAGTGGCCGTAGGCCAGGTGCCAGCAGATCCAGGCAGGCGGGTAGGTCTGCAGGATGAGGGGCAGCAGGCAGATGTACACGATGGCCACGACGGAGCTCGTCAGCCCGATCACCAGCACCACAAACACCTGCGGGAAAGGGGAGCGGGTCACGGGCGCAGTGGGGCAGGACAGAGCCGCGGGAGCGCGAGCACGGAGGGGCCCTGCACCCCCGGCGGCGGCTGCTCCGCGTCCCCGGGGCACTCACCACGCCGAACCAGCGCGTGACGTGGTCCACCAGCCAGTAGACGGGCTCGAAGAGCGAGTCGAGCAGCACGTCGCCGTCGGTGAAGGAGTTGTAGAGCAGGGAGCGGAGGCAGAGGCGCCCGTAGCGCCAGAGGTGCCCCGCGCGCCGCAGGAGCCCGGAGCGGCGCCGCGGGCCCGGGCGCAGGCAGCGGAGCAGCAGGCGCATCCCG